TCCAGTTCCATTAAGCCTGAATCTAGTTTCTGATGTAGAGAATTTTTCCCACAACGTAGAGAATTTTCCCCTCCTAAAGGCTCAAGGTCCCATCCAGTTCAACATCCAGGATACAGTTTGTAAGTTCCACTTTGGCTAAATTAGGCTTTCTAGGCTTAATTTGTCTGTAGTTCAGTTCCATCCTCAAAGAGAAAGTGAGCTCCAAACTGTCATAGAACACCCAAGGCCATTGATTCTAGGCATTTTGCCAGTGCCTTAGATAGCTGTTACACATAGCATGAACAGATTTTGTTTTCCAAAGTTATTATCAGTAGTGTTTTCAGGGGGAAAAATTCTTAAGTTTTAATATCAAACTTCCTTCCTTTAAGTATAATTAAGTGTTTAATTAATGCCCAATTTATTTTCCTTGTGTCTCCCTCCATCTCTACCTCTCCCCCGCTCAATCAACGATGATGGAGAGCTATGAGACACTATTTCTGCCATAGAGGTTGTCTTGTCCAGGGATAGTAAACAGATACAGTTTTTAAAGATGTTTCTCACCCGTTTGTAGCACAATATTAATTAGGCTGCTTTATAGCTTCTTCATACCCCGCTACCGATGTCTTGAAGCAAGCTAGTTCAACTCCTTGTTTCCACCCACTGGTCGATTGGGGAGTTTCCTGGATCAAACATGGGTAACCCCCATTCCCCCATTTCACCACCTCTTCGGGGTGATTTTAACCCCCTGGGGGGTCCCAAACAGGTCAGAATTCAGCCCAGGGGAGGGAGCCCCGTCCTCCTCCTGCTGTCTCATCACAGTGTCAAGCCGGAAGTCCCTGAGTCTTATTTTCTAAAGTGTTAGGCTTTGGTGAGGGTGGATAACAATAGGGTAAAGAAGGGGGACTTCCACAGCTAATTCTAACCTTAAGGAGCTGGCCTTCCACTGTGCATTTTACTGGAACTTAAGGAAGTAACCAGGACTCTCAACAAAAAGTGCATTGAACTAGATCCTTTTTTCTGGCACACCCTTTTAAAAAATTTGATATATTAAATACATGTTTGCATTTACTTAACCTGTCTAGTTGCATACATAAGTGGTCTCATCCACCCTACTGGCATATTATCTTTCATTTCCAAATCAGCTTTGAAATTCTGCACTGATGTGTTAATACTACTTTCCTTTTTATTTGTTTTCACCCTCTTAGGAAACTCTGAAGTCTTCATGGGCAATTACGAGACACTGGTGACCGAGTTCATCCTGCTTGGATTCTCTGATCATCCTAGGGCCCAGGCGGTGCTGTTTGGGGTGTTCTTAGTGGTCTTCCTTGTGACACTCCTAGGCAATGGCCTTATGGTTGTTTTGGTCATCAGCAGCCCTCTTCTTCACACTCCCATGTATTTCTTTCTCAGCAACCTTTCCTTTTTGGACATGTTCTATAGCACCTGTACCAGTGTTCCACAGATGCTGGTCAACTGTTTCTCCCGGAGACCCACCATTTCCTTCACAGACTGCATTGTTCAGATATACGTCACTCCCTTCCTTGGTATGGCGGAGTGTTTCTTGTTGGCTGTCATGGCCTGTGACCGCTTAGTTGCTGTTTGCAGCCCCTTGCATTACACCCTCATCATGAACAAGAGACTCTGTGTCCCACTTCTTGGGATTTTGCTTTTCTTTTGACTCTTATTGCAGTTGTGTTACAGCCAATGCATTTCTGTTGCCACAATGTCATCAACCATTTCACCTGTGAGTTGCAGGCTTTCCTGAAAATAGCCTGCTCTGACACAAGCCTAAATGATATCTTAATTGTGGCCAACAGCATTTTTGTCCTCATCATACCTTTCTGCTGATGATCAGTGTGGCCATGATGTTCATACAGTCAGCCAAAGGGCAGACCAAGGCTTTTTCTACATGTGGCTCCCATGTGCTGGTGGTCACCATCTTCTATGGCTCAGCCATATCTATGTATTTGTACCCTCAGGGCAAAATTTCCTCTGATCGTGACAAAATGGTCTCTCTGTTTTATGGGACAGTGATCCCTATGCTCAATCCCCTGATTTACAGTCTGAGAAATAAGGAAGTGAAAGGAGCCTTTTGGAGACTGTTCTGGAAGAAAGCATCTGAATGAAGAGAATGTCTTTGCCAATCCATCAACCTGTGTATTGTTATTTGTCAATATTAGTTTGATGCTTCCATTAAAAATGGTACTCACAGTCATTCAAGCTTCCTACAAAGAGGCATTCATTGGTTCCACATGCACTTCATTGTAATAGATGTATCTTGAAGAAACATAGGATTAATTGACTATCAGTGCAATCCTGTTCATGTCTACTCAGAAGATAGTCTCATTGATTTCAGTAAGGCTAACTCCCAGACAAGTATGTAAAGGATTGCAACTTAAGATTTTGTTGGTCAGTTGGCAGTCCCAGCATTAATCACGACATTTGCTTATGAACTCAAGTAGAAGAATCCATACATTTTAATTCATGAACAGTTCCTATTAGTTTTGTAATTAGCTCTATAACTCTGCAGCTTTGAGACAATGACACTCATTCCCCAACAGCTATTTCAGCTGGTAAAATTAGTGGCTGACAGAAGCCAAGAGGGAATGCAGCTGCTTTGTACCAAACTCCTACTGTGTTAGTGCTATTCCTTTCCATGCAAACCCAGCATGGAAAGAAACAGAAGACTTTTAAAGGAAGTGGAAAATATGCTTCTTTGGAAATATATCTAAAAGCAAGCAGTAGTTGCCCTTCCCACTCTCATCTACCCAGGCTTATTGACTGCCAAATAAATAAATAAATAAATAAAATTCAATGCCAGAGTTACAATGGGTATCTATTACCGCATTAGAATTTGATTCACTAGGATATTAATGTTGGGGTCTCATAGGAGTTCTCTGCCTCCATATTTTTCATGTATGGGGAGTATTAAGGACATGTTCGTCCACAGATCCAGGACATAAGAACATCCTACAGTAGAAGGTTGGGTTTCTGTTACATTTTGATATAATAAAATCCCAAGGTATCCCAAAGCCATTGCCATCAATTCATAATTAGTGCCTCTTGAAAGATTATTTTTCAATAAACATAGAATCATAGCATTATAGAATAATGAAGTTGGAAGGGGCCTATAAGGCCATCTAATCCAACCCCCTGCTCAGTGCAGGAATACAAATCAAAGGACACCTGTCAGTTGGTTGCCTAAATATCTCTTGAATGCCTCCAGTGTTGGAGCACTCACCACCTCTCGAGGTAATTGGTTCCATTATTGTACTGCTCTAACAGTAAGTTTTTCCTGATATTCCACTGAAATCTGACTTCCTTTAACTTGAACCCATTGTTGTGTGTTGGGAAGTCTCGGTGGATTGAGAACAGTTCCTGTCTTCTGTCTCATATTTAGGAGCAGGTTTCCCCTTCCAGTTAGGCGAGGTGAAAGCAACTGACCAGACAGCAGGCTGCTTGGTGTTTCCTCCCCTGCCACTGCCCTGGAGAGGTCTGAGCAGATTTGAATGTAAGCAGGAATGAGCAACATGGTCATGTCTCCCTGCAAAATAAGCAGGGGGTTAAGAATGGCTGTGGCGGCTGTGGCAGTTGTGGGGGCAGCAGACATGGCCGTTCCTCTTCCCCTGCCTCTTTCGGTGGGCAGCTTGGCCATGTTGCTCTCTCTGGTTAACCTTCAGATCAGTTCAGACCTGTCCAGAGCAGCGATAAAGGAGAGGAATGACTCATTGGCCGCCCCCAGTAGTCCTCTTTCCCAACTCTGTCTTTTGAGGGGGCTAGAATCCACAGTTATGCTTCTCCTTTCGCCTCCCATCCAGACCTGCTCTGATTTTGAAAAAAAAAAAAAAAAACTAAAGGTACAGCAAAACTGAGATAGGTCCTGCTGCCCACGCTGCAGTTCTGCCTATTCATTTGAATGTTTTTGTCTTTGGACCAAACATCGCCAATGTATTGGTCCTTTGGGGACTAAATATCACACTGTGGGTGGCATTTTCAATGGGGTGGTCTGCGATGGTTCAGCACAACTTCATTCAGGCTCAACCCTCTACAGTTTTTTTGTAAAAATTATTTACTAGTTCAGTGCTATGTCAGAAAAGTGGTAATTCAGAAGTGTCATTGTCTCATCAATTCAGTGCTATGTCACCTTGTAAACAAAAAGGGCTGTGTGGGGAAGGCAGCAGGGATACGGGAAGAAAAAAAAGATGATGTACTACAGGTAGAAATGTATCTGACTGAAACGTGCTTAACCTGTAAAGAAATAAAGAAGTGGAAAGCAAGACAGATTTTAATTGTCAGATGAAAAGCTTGTCAGATTGAAACTTTTCTTCTTTTGTATTTTTTTTTTAAATAAACTGCTTTACAAACAGTGGTTATTATTTTTGAAATTGGCTTCACAAGATACTATATAACACATAATGCCAGGGTGTATTGTCAGTGATGTGTCACCGAAACCTTGCAGGTTTTATGAGCATGCTTCACCAGAAAGTGTTCTTACTTTTTTTTTAAAAAGGGGGGGCATTATAAATTCTTAGCTGTGGCAAGGAAGCAAAGGGAAAAGGAACATCGACCGTTTGCCGAATTTGTCCCTATCAGTGATAATGACTGCATGCCTTGGCAGAGATCTTTTCCAAAGGCCGAAATGCACATCAGCCTCAAGAGAGTTGAGTGCAGAGGAGCCTGTGGGATACTTGCTTGGGTCGATGAGGTATTATGAGCTGTGGCTTTTCCCTCCAAGGTCACTGTTCTTCTCTTAGCTTGAGTCAGTTACAGAACTCACAAAACTGCTTAAGCTCTGAAGACCTGATGGGATGCAGCAGATTGTGCAAAGTTCCCTGAACAATGGACATTTCTTTAAACAATAGCTTCAGAGCCAAGACACACTATTGTGAGGTATCATGGACAAGATGTCTTCTCCTCATCCCTTCTCTCCAAGTTCTATTTGGTGAACAAGACTGGTGTCCCACTCCTATCTTGTTTCTTCTCCTGCAATGTATACTGGACCCTGATGCCTCAACGGAGGCATTTAAGATCTTTCTCCCTGCCTGAGAAGCACAAGTGGACTGAATCTTCATCTTTCTGTATCCTCGTCCTAGGTGAGTACTGACAGAAAGAGTTACTGATGCCAAGCCCAAGATGAATCTGGTCTCTAAGACCCTGTGAGAAATCGATATTGAAAAATATCTGTCAGTTGTGCTTTGATTTGGATTCCTGCACTGAGCAGGGGATTGGATTCGATGGCCTTATCAGCCCCTTCCAATTCAATTATTCTATGATTCTATGAAATACTCTGCCTCCTTTTTAATGTCAGGGAAAGACTAATAAAAGTGAGGAAATGTTTTGTCACTTAGTTTTTAAATTGTCTCAATTTCCTTCCCATAAAATTAAATATCTATTGCAAGAATTTTAAAAAGTTGATCTGTGCTTTTTAAAAAGAACAATTAAACAAATGGATGGGTACTTATATTTTTCACTTTGGGGGCAAACCTGTTTAGTACTAAGATTAATACTAAAAAGTACTAAAAGAAATATGTTGCCCCCTAACTCTCTAAATGCATGTCAGCACAATTTTTGTTATCATTCCACAAGCAGGCAAAAACCTTTCTCTTCAGGCAAGCTTTCCCCTTAGTGACTGGTTGCCTGATTTTAAATGAACAGTTGTACTTTAGTGCTGTGAATGTATTTCGGTGTTGCTTTTGTTTACTGCTTTTCAGTGTGCTATGTAGTATTTGTTGTAAACCTACTTTTTTAATATTTTAATATTATCTTTCGATGGTGTAAACTGTCTTGGGTACTTTTTAAAGAGAAAAGGTGGGTTAAAATATTTTAAATAAATTTAATATAACAAATGAATGCACTGTACTGAAATGGGTTAAGTAGACTTATATGACAGGAATTCAGAGTCTAGGACAAGAAGGCAACTGTTCCCAAAATGTCTATGTTTGATTGTTGGCTTTTGCCAGTCAATTGCAAACTATTATAAAGGTTGCTAGCTCATGTAATTAGATGTCAGATTAGGTAGCCTCTTGATTTATGGTATGGATATGGTATGTGCATATTGGAGGGAAATAATACCGTATTTTTCGCTCCATAAAACGCACCTTTCCATAAGACACACCAATTTTTTAGGAGAAGAAAACAGGAAAATATAATCTGTTTTCTTCGCTCCATTAAAACGCACAGACTTTCCACCCCCCTGTTTTGTGGGGGAAAAGTGTGTCTTATGGTGCAAAAAATACGGTAATCAATAAAGTTAAGGAAGATGTGAAGAAGGAAGGAAGGAAGGAAGGAAGGAAGGAAGG